GACATTCCGAGGAGAATTGTGGATGAGGAGATGCAGCGGGAGATTTACAGAGAAGTGGCGGCGGATGCGGGAGGAGGTCGGCAGTACGTGTCAGCGCTGCGTGTGGTGAGTGTTTGGGTGCAAGCAAGACTAGGGGTGGTGCGCTGGGCGACTCACGCCCTGTACCAGGTGCGTGTTTGCTATGCACTCTCATTCATTGCATGATGTGTCGCCGGTGGTTGTGTGCGGCAGGCCGTGGAAGAGATGGAGCCAGTGCTAACGAAGAAGTTCAGGGTCATGCGCCTCGGAGGCACCGCGGACAAGGTGTTTGCCGAGTACGCAGCGGTATTTGGGGATCAGATGGCGGGCCTACCAGGTCAGCTGCGGGAGATGCAGTTGAACCCTGACAGTGTGCAGGTAATGGTTTTTTGTGGTGCGCGGATTGTCGGTTTCTGGTGCGCGGAACGAGTGACATTGCCTGACCTCTTTGATTCGGTTGTGGTGCTTGCCTTATTGCAGACACACACAGCAGTGGCCATACCACGTACGCAGGGTGGGGTGCTTGTGGCGAAGGGGACGTTCGTCAAGGCGTCCCCGCGAGAGAACCTGTTCTCAGATGTGGCACTCCTGGCTCCTGGAGGCGGGGATTGGTTTGCTAGATGCCTATGTATTTTCAAGGCGTTGAACGCGGAGGGCAAGTGGACTGGGTGTGCCTACGTGAGGTACTACGAAGCAGCAGGCCAGTGTCCCATCACAACGTGCACCCAGTTGCATCCAGCTCGAGAGAGTGTCCGGTTCGCAGTGGTGTTGCTGAAGAGCCTGCAGAGGGTTGTGCACGTATGCCCTTCGTACAGCAACCCTCGTCTGCTGCTGGTTAACAAGTTTCTACTCTGCGAGTAATTGGAGTTGGGCTGTGTGTTTGGAACTGAGGGAAGGTGGTTTTGTTACACTCCTAGAAGGGGTGGAATTGTGGGATTGTGGCATTTAGGGGTGCATGGGAACCTGGGTAAGGGAAGGAGAGTGCGCAACAGAATAGTACGCAGGTATCATGCTTTGATTTGGGGGGCTTGTGTGGTGGGAATGTGGGATTTTGGAAATTCACCGTCATACTGTAATTTTGGCGGCCGGTGTGTGGATTGAGGCAATGCTTGTAACGGATTTGGTTATTACGGTTGTTGGTTACGGGCACTGGTGTGCGGATTGGGGTTTTGTGGCTGAAAGGCAGGGACACTCTTGTTACGGAATCCAATTGGATATGTGGCTGGGGCTAATTGGTTCGATGTTCAGATTTCTAGTGCGTGTGACTGGAGGGTGCGCTCTTGTGTGACGTGTACGACATCAGAGGTTGACAGGTTGGGCCAATGGGAACTGCGCAATTGTGTACCTGGCATGTAGTGGACAGTGTTCAGTTGGAGAGCGATTCAGTGGTTGCTGCACATGTGGAGCGCCTAAAAGGCAGCACATGTGGTGATGGAGAGTACGGTTTGGGCTTTTGGTGGATGATTTTGGGGACGTCCACCATTTCATCTACAGCGTCCCACACGCTGTCCGGGGTGTGCTGGTGGCCAGTATGAGCTCGGTGTAGCCCCCGTTGAAGGACATCGTATAGATGCTGAAAGTGCTCCCCGACGATGTGTTTCTGTTTGTGGAGATACCGTTTATGCCCAGCCGGTTGCCGAAGACCAAGATACCGGGGAGGAACGGAACCCCGTGCGACCGGATCATAAGTGTCGGCTTCTTGTACAATGCGACGGGGACCTGCACCACGGTGCCCCTTGTGGTGTTGCGCCATGACGAGCGCCCCGAACCTAGGCGCAGCGGGGATCCTGCACCGGCGGTGATTGTGCGCTACACGAAGAGTGGGCGCCTCACACCCGAGGTATGTGGGCGGATTTCGAGTGGACTCCCACCAGCACATGTGTATAATGTTGTGGCCGCATTTTAACCCTGTTTCTGTGTGATACCCTAATTCCGCGCTGGCGCTGTCGTGGCTTGGCGGTGCGCAGGTGTTTACCGAGTTTTTTCAGACGGTTGATGGGGTGCAGCTTAGCCGTGGAAGGAAGACGGTTGTGTTCACCTACAACACGGCGCACCGCATTACCGCGAATGACGCGGAGACCACGGTGGAGCATGGGCTGACTATGGTGCATTTCACGCACACACGCTTTGTGGACCTGACAGACGTTGTGCACTGGTCCAGTATGCCGTTTTTGCACGGCGTGGTGGACGCTTTCAAGGCTGAGTATCGTGTGATACTGATGAGACGCGCGGTGCGGTCCAATCTGTTCCACGAGGATTTCGAAGCGCCGATTTCCCAGGTGAATTACGGTGTTATGCTGCTGTGGGTGGGCTTGGCATGGAAGGCGCTGACGGCGGCAACGATGCAAAGGAGCTGGTGGAGGGCGGGATGCGTCCCGGAGTCATGGTGGGAGCTGATGTGGCACCTGCACGGCATGTACTCGGCCGGCATGTACGATCCCCTGGTCTCTACCACGGCGGACCTCCTGGTGCTGCTTTGTGAGTTCCGTGTGCGGCCGGCTATTTATATGCCGGTGTCCGATTACGTGACATGCGATGAGTGGTTAATGGAGAAGGCTGGTGTGAAGTTGGTGACGCCAACGACGCCGACGTCTTCAGGGGACGAGGGCGAGATGTGCCTGCCGGATGGGCCTCTGATGCGTGACGAACGAAGCCGACGACGTGCCATCCGCAATGTGACGAACGCATACGTGAGTCACGCGGAGGCGCTGGGGATTGCTCCTGCGGAGGTGGCGACTGTCGTTGGCGCCTCTGATGGAGAGGTGGTTAGCCGCCTAAGCCGCACACCGAAGAAGCGAGCTCGCAGTTCGGGGTCGTCGGACAGTGGGTCCGTCTAGTGCGCTTGGGTTTGATGCTGTAGTGGGTGGGGGGGGGTGTTTGTTGGAGGGCATGCCTTGAAGGGTGGGCTCATCTTTGTAGGTGTGGTTGCTGGTTGACAGTAGGGTTTGGTTTTGTGTGATGTTGTACTTTGTATTGCTGAGTGCTGGAGTTGCAAGCGAATGACACGGTTTACACATTATGAAGTAGACGGTGTGCAGAGCAGTGTAGTTTGGTTTGTGCAGTATATACAGTTGCTCGGAGTAGGTGTGCATTTATCGTTTCTGGGGTCCCTGTAGCGGGGGAGGGGCGACACGACAATACCGAGTATGTCTGGCGTTTTTGGCTCGAGCCGCATGTGTTCGAGGCGCATTCGTGGAGGCGGCGCGGATAATGGCGCAGGTGACCCCAAAGTGACATTTTGGTGGCGGTAATGTTGTGGTCCAGTGTGCGGTTATTGATCGCGCCAATGTTGCGTTTTACGGTCCTTGTTTTTCGGACACTTGTCGCAACAATCACGCAAGCCCCACGCAGAAAAACCTTCGGACACCCCAAAACGCAATTTCCCTTTTCCGCGATGTCTGCCATGGCTGGAAAGGCGGTGGCGGGTGAAGTGCGCTGTTTAGCGGAAGAGAAGTCTGAAGTCGTTTGGCTATCGAAGGGCTCATGTCTCATGTGGTAACTATGTGGGCGAGTGTGAGTGGAAGAAAGCACGTGGGAGGAAAAATGAGGAGCTGGGAGGGAGAAAAGCGGCGCCTGGAAGGATAATCCGCGAGCCTTGCGAAAGCGTGCTAAATGACGCGAGCACTCGCACCGATTTCGGGGGTCGAAAGCGAATTTTCGATCAGCCACCGCACTGGAAACCTGTAGTTACAATTAAAACGATCCCGCGTAGGATCGATCACGCAAATGTGGTGGGAGTGCCCCAGTTCTAACCCAGCGACTTCGTGAAGGGCTGAGAGAGGCAAGCGATGCTTGCAAATGACAGACATGGGAGAACAGCTACACCCAGCAAAGAATATGACTCTAGTTTCAATGTGCTTTGAAGGAGCTAATACTAGCCCAACAATTACAAAGTTGAGCACCTAACTAATCATAATATAATGATGCTACTACCTTAACAGAAGAAAACGCCTCCCCATCACATCATGTTTGGCCATTGGCAACCGTATCACAGGCCAACGCCTCCACAAATGGTGCTTTCAGATAAGCATTCGAAGCCGCCACTCGGCGTGCCATCACATCAAACGGCCCACCGCTCCTGCCATGTACGCACCAGCACATGGTTGCAGAGTGAACATGACACATTTTGGTTGAGATTCAAGCCGCATGTGACATCAGAACAGACGCACGGAACAAGGTGCAAGGAGCGAGGGGCAAGGAGCGAGGAGCAAGGAACAAGGAGCAAGGAGCAAGTAGCAAGGGAAGGGAGGGCACAAGGCACTCACGGGTCAAAGCAGAGGCCACCTGCCTCCTCCACTATCAGCGACCCCGCTGCTACATCCCTGGTTGGTGCACCGGGGGAAGAGAGGGGGAGTGAAGGAGAGGTGAGGGCGGCGGTCATGAGAAGCAGTTCAGACGATATGTGGGAAAGACGCTGAATGACGACATGCCTTACATGCCGCAGCTGCTGGCAACACCCCACAACCACGCCCTGACCTTATCGGCAGTGTTGCGGCAACCGCACCCCTATCCTCCACCCCTGTTTCCCTCTTCCACCCTTTCTCTCTTTCCCTTTTTTCCCCCCTTGACCTGTGATGGAGACCCCACCCCACCCCACCCCACCACACCCCCCCCACCCCACCCCACCCCACCCCACCCCACCCCACCCCACACCCCACCCAGGGCCCCCCGAAGTCGATCTCGTAGAAGAGGTCGAGGCGGCCGCACGCCACGCCCGCCAGGTTGAGCGCACACGACCCCCCCATGCGCAGCGAGCGCACCTGCTCACCATGGGCAGGGGGGCAGGCGGAGGAGTTGATGGGAGGGGGGTGAAAGGACAGGTAGGTAGGTAGGATGGGAGACGATGTAAATTGCAGTTAGAGCAAGGGCATTCGAAAGATAGAGGTGGGCATGAGAGGGGGAAGGAAGCAGCAGTTGGGAAAGGAAGGGGCGGCATTAGAAAGGGGAGAGCATGAAAGACATGGGATGGGAAGGGGGCGTGCCTGGAAGAGCAGCGTGCTGATGCGCGCTGCTATCCCCTCCACCGTGGCGGCATCCCTCTTGGTGCCGATCTGATGGCCCACGCCGCCATGCGTGGCACGATGGGGGAGAATGGTTGGGATGAGAGGGAGCAGAAGTGAGTGAAAGACAAGACAGGCCGTAGTGAAGGTTGAGCAGAAACCAAGTTTCAGAGCAAGGATGCAAAGGGGCATGCATGTATATTGGGGATTTATTATGAAGGAGTGCATGTGTGCACGTATGCATGTATCCACGGGTGCATGTGTATGCATGTGTGCATGCATGCGGGCATGCGTGGGAGGCGGGGCACCTCAGTGGCGAGCAGCGCTGACTTCATGTCTGCTTGTGGGGAGACTGACAGGGGCGTGCGCAGGGTGAGAGGTAAGTGCAACACGAGAAGAAGAGGGGAGACAGCAAAAAGGCAGCATGGAGGGGGGGGGGGGTGGTAACTATGATATGGCCACGATGCAGCAATGCTTTTTTTTTAGAGACTTTAGAAGTGGACGGTGGCAGCAAGGCATGGCATATCACGGTTGACAGCACAGCATGCATACCATGGATGGCAGCACAGCATGCATACCATGGATGGCAGCACAGCATGCATACCATGGATGGCAGCACAGCATGCATACCATGGGTGGCAGCACAGCATGCATACCATGGATGGCAGCACAGCATGCATACCATGGGTGGCAGCACAGCATGCATACCATGGGTGGCAGCACAGCATGCATACCATGGGTGGCAGCACAGCATGCATACCATGGGTGGCAGCACAGCATGCATACCATGGGTGGCAGCACAGCATGCATACCATGGATGGCAGCACAGCATGCGTACCATGGGTGGCAGCAGCGCATGCATACCATGGGTGGCAGCACAGCATGCATACCATGGATGGCAGCACAGCATGCATACCGTGGATGGCAGCACAGCATGCATACCATGGATGGGCTCGTCGTTGAGCATGGCACCATGTCCCCTCATTGCAGTGAACATCTGGCATGCCATGGCGCATAAGGCATGGGGCATGGGGCATGAGGCATGGGGCATGAGGCATGGGGCATGGGGCATGGGATATGGGAAAGCTAGCATAGGATATGGGTGGGTGCGGGGTTGAGCGAGGGAAGATGGGTGGAGAGATGAGTGGGGGAGCAGGTGTGCTGGTGGCGCACTGTTGTGTGCAGAGCGGGGGATGCGTGTGCGGTGAATGGCATGAATGAGGGAGTTGAGAGGCGAATGGCATGCATGAGGGAGTTGAGAGGCGAATGGCATGCATGAGGGAGTTGAGAGGCGAATGGCATGCATGAGGGAGTTGAGAGACGCGTGGCATGGTGGGCAGGGGGGCGTGCCTCATTGAGGATGGGGTTGAAGACCACGGCCACCACCACCACCTTGCTGATCGCCAGCCCGATCGACACACACACAAAGGGGTACCTGCTCATGCCCCCCGCCTCCCTCCCTCCCCCAATGCCACGCCACACACACAGACATAGCCACAGGGGTTGATCGCGTTCCTTTAATGACGGACAGTGGAGCGGGAGGCGGGGCTGTGGATCACAATGGCACACAGCACACGGTACAAGGCACACGGCACACATGGCAGATGGTAGATGGCAGATGGTAGATGGCAGATGACAGATGAGAGGCCCCACCGGTGTATGAAGTTGGTGGTGCCATCGAGGGGGTCCACCATCCACGTGGGGTCATCTGACAGCCCCGCCGTGCCATGCACTGATGACTCCTCCTCGCCTATGATCTGATGCCATGCCAGTTCAGATGGAAGGTAAAGCGCAGCAAGCAGGAGGGATATTACAGAAGGGGAATAAACCGAAGACGAGAGAAACTGGCCTGCGTGCTACAACCATGACATGACCATGCTAGAACCCAGAATCACGTTTTAACCCTAACCCAACAGATGGTGCACAGCCCAGATGCTTCTGGTTCCAACCCTCGCTTGCCTTGTGGGAAGGGTAAGCGGCTGAGATGTGCTGCATGATGAGTGCCTCGCATTGCTTGTCCGTTTCTGTGACCAGGTCGAACTAGTGGCGGAACAGGGTGGCAAGCCAGATTTTGCGAGCAGAAAAGCGGGAGGGAAACGGAATGAGCTCGCAAAGCGTCCAGACTAAACACATCCATTTCCAGGTTCAAAATCCCAGAACGCATGCCATGCTGTAACAGCAGATTTCATGCTCCAACATCACATGCCGTGCTCCAACATCACATGCCGTGCTCCAACATCACATGCCGTGCTCTAACATCACATGCCGTGCTCCAACATCACATGCCGTGCTCTAACATCACACGTCATTCTCTAACACTACATGTCATGCGCTAACGCCACACATCCCATGTTCTAACAGCACGTGCCATGCTGGCATGCCATGCTCTCTTCCATGACGTGCCATGCCATGCTCCCATCCCTCATCTCGCCTCACCTTTCCCTTGTGCTGCACGTCCTTTGGCGCATAGAAGCTGCGACGAATCACCTGGTGACACGTGTGCAGGCATGCACGGGCGAATGGATGGGAGGGGGGAGGATGGGTGGATGGTTGGGAGGGATGGTTGGGAGGGAGGGATGGAGGAGTGGATGGGAGGACACTTGAAGGTTACTAAGAAGCCGGGAGGTAGTGGAGAGGGAGGGAAGAGATGGAGAGTAGAGGGAGATGAGAGGGAGGAGAGTGAAAGGGGAGGGAGGAAAGGGAGAGTTTCTGAGGTTGAGGCCGCAAAGTCATGCAAGCGAGGAAGCGTGATGGGGAAGAGGCACTGAAAGGCGCGGAATGCGAGCGGGTGTTGGGTGAACCAGATGCCTTTCGGCATGCGGCACGCGCACACGGGGCGAGGCGTGCTGTGCGGGGCAATGCGGCGCACCTCGCCCGCCTGGCGAGCAGCCGCCACAGCGACGTGCAGATACTCGCGCAGCTCCCGCTCTGCCCTTGCCCCCCGCCCGTGGCCACGCCCACCGCAGTGGCAATCGCCACAGCAACGGCGATGACAAGGCACGGCGCAGCATGGCATGGCACGGCACGGCACCGAATGCAGAGAAGCGACGGCACGCGTGTGCGCAGGGCGAGCATCGCAGACGGCGACACGTGGAAAGAGATGGTCAGTGGTGCGGATTAATGAGCAAAGCCGACGGACGGCAGAGATACAAATCAGTAGACTTGTGTCGGTAGTGACGGGACGAGAGGCAGGGCCAGCGACAGGGATCGGCAGGGAGGGAGACAATGCGGAGACAGGCGACTCACCCGCGACAGCTACAGGCGTCGCCATAGTGTCGCTTGGTGGAGTCAGCGACAGAGAGACAGGAGATGCGACAATTGGCGACAGTGTTAGCTTGAGAAGGCAGCGAACGTGGAAAGGAGCATCAAGAGCGGGTGAGGGCAGCCAAGGTACTACAAGCGATGTGAGGGTGGAGGGAATGGTTGGGGATGTTGTGGCGAATGTGATCCAAGGGCACTGGCACTGTGGTGCGAATGTTGTGATGCGCGGAACGGTTCTGCGGACTGAGGGCGCACTGCAGCAGCACATTTGCATATCGTATGGGCCAGGAAACTGAATGGGCCTGTTCGTGGGCCTGTAAACTGTGGGCTGCAGCACGGGACACCCGAATGCTGCTCCAATCGCATCAAGTGCATGTTACCCTAGCGCGCAGCTGCTCCGATTGCAGGACGTTTTACCCTGTTTGCCCTGCATTTCAGGGTGAAAATTCGGACCCGCACGGCTAGAATTGGGGTTGGCTGGGCGTCCACCCTGTCATCGTCACGCAAGGTTAGGGCGCGTAACCATTTTGCACCTGACGATTCTACTGCGGACCATCCGGGCTGGCGAAATGTAACCCTTGTCGCATGCTATCGTTAGCGTTTTCGCGGAGGTGTTGGCAACGTCGCCAACCAAACAGACTGTCGTGACACTTTTTCACATTTTCAATGGTCCGTAATGTGAACCGTGGACAGTCCGAAACCTGAACGGACAGTCCATCAGTCCTGGCTAGATATTGGCGGGCGAATTTGATGTACAGTATCGCCTTTCGATTGGCGAACGATATCTATTGCGAACTTTCGCCTTTCGGTAACTACGAAGATACAGAGCCTCTAACGAGGCTACAGTAGCCGCCGAAATTCACAATGTCAAACATTGTATGTTTATATTGTGTAGGCTATAGTGGGTTTAGCCTTAGAGGGTACACAAACTTAGGGTTTCATACTTGTACCCACCTTCCTGCTAGTTCATCCATTCTCGTTCTATTCTAGATTCTGACATGGTATCAGAAGCCTAGGTTGCTACCTAGGACCGCTTTCTACAATGGGCCCACTATTCCGCTAGGCGCGCCCTCGTGCGCCCTACCTTACGTGCGCCCTCGTGCGCCCTACCTTACGTGCGCCCTCGTGCGCTCTACCTTACGTGCGCCCTCGTGCGCCTTTCTCTGCTAGTGCGCCTTCGTGCGCCCTCGTGCGCCCTCGTGCGCCCTCGTGCGCTCTCGAGCTGCCCCTGCAGGTCCGTCAGGCCCCCGAGCCGCCGCTGCAGGCCCGTCAGGCCCGAGAGCCGCCCCTGCACACCCGTCAGGCCCGCGCGCAGCCTCTGCACGACCGCGCGCCGCCCCTGCAGGCTCTCGCCGCCCGCCGCGTCGCCCTGCCCGTGGCGTCGCCGCCTTCCCGCGGCGTCGTTGCCTGCCCGCGACGTAGCCCCTGTCCGCGGCGTCGTCGCCTGCCCGCGGCGTCGTCGCCTGCCCGCGGCGTCGTCGCCTGCCCGCGGCGTCGTCGCCTGCCCGCGGCGTCGCCGCCTGCCCGCGGCGTCGTCGCCTGCTCGCGGCGTCGTCGCCTGCCCGCGGCGTCGTCGCCTGCCCACGGCGTCGTCGCCTGCCCGCGGCGTCGTCCCTTGCTCGCGGCGTCGCCACCTGCCCGCCGCGTCGCCCTGCCCGCGGCGTCGCCACCTGCCCGCCGCGTCGCCCTGCCCGCGGCGTCGCCACCTGCCCGCCGCGTCGCCCTGACCTAATCCGCCTCTCGCCCCTGGAGCAGCCGCCACTGCAGCAGCAGCCCCTGGAGCCGCCCGCCACTGCAGCAGCAGCCCCTGGAGCCGCCCGCCACTGCAGCAGCAGCCCCTGGAGCCGCTCGCCACTGCAGCAGCCGCCCCTGGAGCCGCCCGTCACTGCAGCAGCCGCCCCTGGCACCTGGAGCAGCTGCCGTCGCGGCCCAGCCTCGCCCTGCCCCAGCTCCCGCGGAGCTCCCTGCTGCGGCCCGGCCCAGCCCTGCAGTTGTAGCGGCCCCACTGTCGCCACCGTCTTGCGCCTGCCGCGCCGACCACTTGTGAGCATTGCCCAGTACTGTCTGCGCCTACTCCCACCACTTGCTTGCCAGTACTACACACTACTCCGCTACTGCTACTACTACTCTGACGTGGCCACTGATGCAGCTCTGACGTGGGCTGCTCCAGGGCTGTGCGCGTGAGTCCCCCACGCCCCAGCAGCTTCGTGCGCGTGAGTGGTACGCTAGTCGGGGCTGTCGGGGTGGCCGTAGTGGTAGTCGCTCTGGAGTGGGTCGGTCGGGAGCTTCTGGTCGTGGACAGGTGCAGCTGCCGTGTCCTCCTTCGCCCCAGCTGCTTCGTGCGCGTGAGTGGTACGCTAGTTTGAGCTGTCGGAGTGGCCGTAGTGGTAGTCGCTCTGGAGTGCATCGGTCGGGAGCTTCTGGTAGTGGACAGGTGCAGCAGCCGTGTCCTCCTTCGCCCCAGCTGCTTCGTGCGCGTGAGTGGTACGCTAGTTTGGGCTGTCGGAGTGGCCGTAGTGGTAGTCGCTCTGGAGTGCATCGGTCGGGAGCTTCTGGTAGTGGACAGGTGCAGCAGCCGTGTCCTCCTTCGCCCCAGCTGCTTCGTGCGCGTGAGTGGTACGCTAGTTTGAGCTGTCGGAGTAGCCATAGTGGTAGTCGCTCTGGAGTGCATCGTTCGGGAGCTTCTGGTAGTGGACAGGTGCAGCTGCCGTGTCCTGTCAGTGAGGCTGCCGCTCTAGGTGCTAGTACGTCTGTTGCCCTAGGTGCTGGTGAGGCTGCTACTCTAGGTCCTAGTGAGTCTGCGCCCCCTGGTACTGAGTCGACTGAGGCCCTGCACACCTTCACCCTAGACTCAGGTGCTTCTCGCTGTTTCTTTCGTGACCGCACTGCCCTTGAGCCGCTTGCTCGGCCAGTTGCTGTCTCCCTCGCTGACCCCTCTGGGGGTCCGGTCATTGCGACCTCCTCCACTGTTCTTCCCTGTCCTGCGGTCCCGTCGGGCACACTGTCAGGTCTCCACCTCCCCTCGTTCTCTACGAACTTGGTGGCGGGTTGTGCACTCCAGGATGCGGGTGTTCACCAGTTCACCCCTGCCTACGAGCGCGTGACACACTACACGTGTGCTCGGACAGGCCGTCACCTGGCTACCTTCACTTGGCAGCCGGGGTCGGACCTGTA